ACAACATGCTTTCCACAAATAAAAATTTAAAATAAAAACAAGGGCAAAACAAATTACTAAATAAAATATACAGTAGCTGGCAACTCACTGAATAAATGCAATGAAATGTTGCTTGTATATAAAGTGTATATAAAATGTAGTTTCATAAGTGTTCCTGCCACCTATACGAAAAAGCAACATTTTGCAGATTTTGTAAAGCCATAGCAATTAGAAAGAAAAGATACAGGTTCTTGATGATGCTGAGGATAAGGAGATCACTTCCACTGGGCTATGTAAGTCTGTCTTTATGTACGCATTTGCATCTGCTAAATGTCTCAGGTTAAATTAAATATGCTGTATTTTTAATACTGTATAAGATGAATCTTAAAGACTAAATAACTCTTGGATGTTCAATGCAACTAGAGTTTTTACACTAAGAACATAAAGACTTTTTAAACATCTTGTAGGCTCCACTGTGCAGTAAAGCAGAGTGCAAGCTTGGTGTTTGCCAAGCTATAAGTATTGGCAGGATGTTCACCAGTGTTGTTGCAAAGTCTGCTTATTATAAGTGACTTTGGGTTTGTTTTTCTGTAAAGTCACTTATAAATATTGGCAGTCACTGGTGCAGGTGGTGTTTTTTTTTTGGCCTTGTTTCTGAAGTGTAGTTGCTTCCTTGGGCTTCCTCCCTGGCTCCTGTCACTCTCCACTCTACCTTTTTAATAAAGCATAACTGCCTAGTTTGTCCTGTTGCATGATCTGTTCATAAGCTGGTTCTCTCCGCTCCTCCCCTTCCCTGTACAAATCAAATTTGCCCAGCTGATCATCCATTATTATTAATGATAGATGAGTTGCTTTAGCTTTTTCGCTAAACATACTGGGACTAAATGCAAAATACATCAGACTGGGAGAAAGCAAAACTCTGATACCATGTAGGACCTGTTTTTGTACAGTGTAGAAATACTACACAGTGGATGAACTAGTTGTGAACAGAGCCTTTTTAAAACATACCATAACCTTTAATCCCACAGGCTTACCTTATAAGCGGCATGAAATGTAATGCTTCATATTTGCTTATCACCTTAGAGCTGAGAAAACATTCCTTACACTTTGCTCTTGTGTTTTTGGTTTTTGAAAGGCTAAAAGACACCGCCCTCCAAATGATTTAGATGCCAAGTATTGGCCTTACTACAGATCAATGTACACTACAAAAACGTGGAGAAATTCAAAGCTTGTCAGGTCAGGTGTGCCCCCTACTTATTACAAAGCTATAATTGGCCCATGGTTGCTGGGGGAAGGGCTTTTTAATCAAACAAATCTGCAGTTTTGGCCACATGTACCACATGTAGATGACATTAGTATGTCACACTGATGTCATTTGGCTGTCAAAAAAGGCAGTAACTACAGCAGACTAAAGTGTGAATAACAGCATGAGTGCTCTTACTTCCCTCCTCTCTCTCTCTGTCTGCCTGCCTTTCTCTCTTTGAGGTTATTTTAACAAGATGGTGAAAAGAAAAATGATAATGATGTGTCTGTCATGATGCAGAGCTGTGTAAATTTGTCACAGTGGCAGCTGACTGATGGTCTAGTATCATCCATTGCCCAAACTATGAATTCTTTCCCTCACATTTGAACACACACACACACACACACACACACACACACACACACTTAAAAGTCAGCATGACAAAAATCACTCAGCACAGGTACGAGCAGGTAAATCACATCCTTCGACAGGTTTATGTTCATTGTTCACTGACGGTATGCCTTTCATTTGCAAAGACGTGTAGTGATTATAGTAACCTTTACAAAATGTACTGTGACTGTATCTTTTGGCATGGATGCCGTAATCATTCTCCTGCTTAGCGATATGTAGGCTACATCAAAATATTCACCAAGGTCATTATTGTTTCAGTGTTACATGGACTTCAGTGGCACATTTGTTTTACTCTGCAGTAATGCTTGTAAAAGCCTAGAATTCACTTTCACTGTTAAGCTTGTACATCTTGGTTTCTTCGTTGTTACAGTGTGTCTCGCAAATTCTTCTGGTTCTGTGCTGTTAATGCTTTGTGTTAAGTGACGTTTTAATGGCCTTATACAGCATTTAGAGTACTTGAAGTTGGCTTCACTGTCTTGACATGCATGCAATTAAAATCCTGTTGTTGTATTTTAGTCATTTTCACCCTCTCCTCTTATCTGCTCATTTTGTACTATAAATTCCAAAAGTCAAAGCCACTAATGTATGTGATACAGATAAATAACAACAATGAAATAATTCAACATCTATTCTTATCTAGTAAAATAAACTAAAAATGTCACATAGGCATTTATGAATATGCACAATACCTTAGGATGAGAATTCAACTACTTTATTGTCTTTTAATATACATTAACTTGATTTACTTTTGCGCATAGATATAGGGAACCTGGTATGATCTATTACTGCAGCCCACCAGGAAATTTTGTGTCTTTACTGCCAATATTATAAAAAACTCAGAAGCTCCCACTTAGCAGCTGCAACTGGAGTTCCTCATTTCACATTTTCAGCAGAGGCAAGAAACACAATGCCTCTTCTGCTTTATTTCATCAGAAGATATTTTCTGTGGCAAAATGATGACAGCTGAATCCAGATCTTCATTTTCCCAACAAAATAGAAAATCAGTTACAGTATGTGATGTGACTTTCATGTGTTCAGAGAAAGATAGCGACAGAGAATATAAAGCGTGCTCCATTTTTTGTTCAATGCTTGAATAAATTGCTTTCTACAGTTGTTTGCATTATACTGCACAGCTATGGGCAGGACTTGATTATTTAGTCTCTATGTCTATTAAAATCCCATTATATCTAAAATTCACATTTAAAATGATTAACAATGTTAATTACAATGTGCTTTCTCTGGTTTGTGCAAATCAGAACCTCTGCATTTTAAACATTATTATATAGCCTTGTAGGAGTTTCCTCCTGGCTAAAGTTAAGGCGAAGACTAAAAAATATCTCCTGATTATGCAGAAATGGATCAGACATAATTTCTCAACAAGCCAAGAAATATGGTGTCAGAATATGATAGTGCATGGGAGCTAACTTTTGCTAACTGCTAACTACCAACACAGTCACTTGCATGTGTCTGACAGAAGAGTGTGTGAGCATGTGGCTAAAAACCAGAATGAAAGAAGGCCAGTAATCAGGAAAAATGTTCTGTGCTCTACGTTCTAAATCTAGCACATTTTATTTAATTATTTAAGATGTTTTGGTTTCATCGAGTTATATTACGTCGAGGCGACAGTGGTGCGGTGGGTTGAGCAGTCGTCTCCCAACTGGAAGGTTAGAGGTTCAAATCTCAGTGCCTGCAGTCCACGTGTCGAAGTGGCCTCGGGCAAGACACTGAACCCCCCTCTCTCCCACAAACATTTCTATTTCCATGATTTCTTAAAGAATGAGGAAAGCTTAACTCTGTGCACATTTCACTTCTTAGGGAGCAGAGCAGACTTGGCATTAATCTCTTTTTTCAATAAAAGCAGGGGAGAAAATGTTTATATATATTACAAAAATGCCCCTGATTCAGCTGGATTTAGAGTGACTCACCAAAGACACCATTTTCAGAGCTCATCTTGCTTTTCTCTCTTGCTGTGGACGTTTAAAACTCCTATGGTCTCAGTACCAATCAATGGTGTCAATATTGACATTTAAGCATGAACAGAGTCTACAGATTAATGTCACTGAAGCTTGTGCCTCTAATCTAACCTTCTCTAATAAGTGATCATTTGAAGGGATGACAGTGACGGACGATGTACAGGCTCAATCCATAAATTTCTATAATGCAAAGATGTGCTCCACTGGCGAGAACTGACCTGTGGTACATTTAGAAGTTGTCTCTGAAAGGCAAATCAATATTTCTTACAAGCTGCAGAGTAAGCAAATCAAAATTCTTTAACAACAGATAATGATTACAAAATGTCAGTAGACATCAAAACATGAGTCTTTCATGGTGAAAATAAACATCCCTCGGGTTCTACAGTTCTAATTATAGTACCCTCAACAGCAGTGTCTTTACAAGGCAAAAAACAGTGTCGGCACACAGGCTGGTTCAAAATTAAAAATCCACTTTTTCTACACCCCAAGGGTGTTTTTGTCTAACCAGATTCATCATTCTGTTGAAACAACAGCTTTTCCCATTAGTGTCAAGCACAGTGTCCCTTTGCTGCAATAGATTTGCCTCTTCACAACTGAACAAGACACTAACTTTTTAACACATGTCATAAAGCTGTGAGACATCTCATTCAGTGCACGGGGGCCTGTGTTGATCTGAGACTTCTGATGTGCCATTGGAGGGAACAAGCAGTACGTCATCTGATGGCTCCTCAAACGACAGGCTTGTCACAAAACAGCCAAAAGCTTAGAAGTGCGGTTCACTTGACACACAGTCTTTAGGGATGTCTCTTAAAAAAGGTCGCCCCATTTAAAAAAAAAAATCTGTTAGTGTGGGTGGGAGGATGAGATTGGGGTACATAACAAATAAAGCAAGAGCCTAAAAAGGATCCAGAGGGAACACTCTATGTGCCTCCTTCGTATCCATTTAACAGGAGGGCTTACTACATCCAGCTACTTACAGCCTAACTAAAGTGCTATATTACTCACCCAGCTCAGCTTGAAACACTATAGAAAATGTGCTTGCCCAGGAATCGCTCTGCTTTATCAATCCCAAACAGCAGGGACCAGAGCTGTAAGCACTATGCCAGGGTTCCAGCAATAGCAAACAACATTTCAGATCGAAAAAAGAAAGAATGCTCACACGAATAAGATTTCAGGTTTGTCTCTATAAATCCTTTAAAGCTGAATCTAACACAGCACATCCTACTGAATTCCCACAGAGACTATTCAAAGACATTGCCTTTGAAAAGTAACATTCAGATTTACAAGCTGAAGTGTGCCCACAGACAGATACACACACATAAAGATTATAAAGAGAAAATGAGAAATGGGTGCAAGGACACTCGGTTTGAATCAGAATCTTTTTTTTTTCTTACCAATGAAGAAGTTCCATTCAGCATCAAGATCTGCCTGGTTTGCTAGACAGCCCCTCATCACATTGTGACAGTAGTTGGGACAGGGTTTCAGTCCAGGCATGCCACGACAGTACGGACAGTACAGCATCTTGGTCAAGGCTCTGACACATGCTGGAACAACATTCACCTAGATGAAAAGAGACATTTTTCAGTTATGTCAGGTCTTTCCAAGCCCAGTAATTGTTTTATGACAAGCAGTCTGATTCCTAAAATGTTTAAGGAATTTGTAATAAAACAATAATGGTGAAGACCAAAAGCAAAATGTGTTAGTTTTTTATAAAACATCGTGTGATTTCCATAGAAACCACAGTATACCAGTTAGTGCAGATAAAGTATTTGAGTGCAGATGTTTTTCAGCTTTCGACAAATATCACCACACTGCATCACATGTTTAGAAGCTTGAAATGAGAAAAACCACCACTTTGTCCATCTCGATTCCTTGTGAAGGTTGTGCCTTTAGTTGTTGGGCCATGTCATTGTACTGGCTTGAGTGAAAGCGACAGGATTCTCACATCTGCTTCTCTTCAGAGGTGGGGATGCAGAACGAAGAGTACATCTGATAATTGGTCTGTCAGCCTCTGTATTCATGCTTGACTTTAGATTTTGTCCAGCCCACACTCTTGAGACTGATGATGTTTGTGTCTGTATATGTGTGTGTGTGTGTGTGTGTGTAAGGGAAGGTTGGCAGATTGGTCAGTGGAAGGAACACACTACTGGTGTTCTATCTTCAACCACTATACCCGTCACTGAACAAAAACGAAAAAAAAAAAAGAGCTAAGTCTAATTCAGGAGTAAAGTGATGCTCATCGGTGTATTTTACTATTGATTATTGTCATCCATTATCTGTTTAAACACCAGGCTCCACTTATTAAAGTTACTTTCTAGTGTGTTATAAACCATTTATTAGGTGTTTATCAACAAGTCCTTCACCCCTATATAACCTATATGATCGTTTGTCCCTTCCTGCTCATGCGACCCAGAGGGGCAAATAATTAAATAGCGCTCCTATGGTTGCAGGAGGACTTGCATCAATCCAGCCAAAATGAATGACTATGTGCATCATGTTACCAAGCTTTACAGACCCATTGCTGTCGTGTAAACAGCCATAAACATGATGGCTATCAGCAAGCTACTGGAACTCTGTCGTTTTGAAAACTGTTATAGATATGAAACTCCAATTATGAAACCAAAAGACACTTGGTTATGATTAGATACAAGAACTACTTGGTTAGGTTTAGGGAAAAAAATGACTTGGTCACATTTAAGAACAAAACTATGTTGGCAAGCTTAGGAAAAAGAACTTGTGAAAAAACACAAGCCCCACCCTGGAATTGAACTCGGTCATGTGTCATCCATCCGCCATCCATCCTATCCTCCTCTTTATAAGGACTTTGTGCTTATGCTGTAATTCTATACTTACTCCTTTCCTTGTGTCATAATTAATAGTGGTTGCTAGATGAGTGGTTGATGCGTAACATTTTGCCATAATAACCTGCTGGCACAAAAGACATATACTATTTTCAGGATGGCATTCTCGTGTTTATGCTGTATGTTGCTTATGTATGCTCAATAGGGGGACTTAAAGTCACCAGTTTATATATTGTTATTGTTCCATAGGTGCCTGCTATTAGCTTGATAGACCTTCACTATCATATATATATAGTACATTTACTCATATTTTATTTATACATTTTCTAATCCACACACAGTGCAAACAGAGTAAACAAAGAAAGAACAGTTTGTACAAAAAGAAAAAGATATTGCCAAATATGCAAAGAAACAAGCACCAAAGAAATAGAGAGGCAGATACAGATGAAACAGATGGAGAGAAAACCGGACTAGACACAAGCAGGCAAACAGAAGGAACAGACAGGCGCTATGGCCACTTTTGGACAGAGGAACAGAGCTAAATACCGTACATGCCAATCACAGTGTTTGCTGTGAACAGAACAGCCTTTGAACACCAAAGATTTGTTAACATACGCATTCAATAACTTATATAATGATGCAGTTTTATGTACATGTAATATTTTATAGGCAGGTTTTAAAAACAACCAGAACAAACCTTTGCTTTGGACTTCTATTTAATCATTTACTGACTTGCCACAGAGCTTATCCAGTACTTAACAGTTTCCAGTGGTAGCCCACATGCAGCTACATCCTCTCGATTTCAGTCAAGTTACTCTGGGGCTTCACTTTACTTTCGGTGTTGACAAAAATCAGCATCACACAAATAGATCTACAAGTCAAATGTGACTGCTACATGCAACTCAGCATTCTATTCTAGATTTTAGATTGCAATTCCACTTCCACACACATCCCCATGCATCTCTACCTCCTGTCTTCTGCATCAATGACTCAAACCCAACAGATTAAATATAACTTTTTCATATCAAGCTATGAATCATTTTATTTCACAAGTTA